AAGTGATTTACCCTAATTTCTTAAAGATGATTCACAATTTATAAAGTACTTCTTAATTTGACATGACTAGTGTTATAATTACGGTTGTAAAAGTGGATAGTGTATCTATGTGTGCATCTAAAGTCAGGGTACTTCACTAAAAATCACCAAATAAAGTACCCTTTCCAGATTAACTAAAATCCTTCTCATGAAAACTATTAGTTTTGAGTGTTTTTCAAACAATACAGTGAATGTGTTTCCTCTTGTGCTGGCAACTAGCCTCACAACTTTTATTTCTGGGCTCAGCTGCATTCTGCATTACTTTAGAAAACTCCATTTGTACCCTTAGTCATCTAAAATGCTACAAAACACATCTGCATTTATTTTATTGTTATTATTTATTATAACACTCTGCATTAGATTTGGCTGCTATAAGCTGCAATCTCCCTCCTCAACCCATTTTATTTCTCTACACATGTCATCTGCAATGTATTCTGGATTGGCCTCTCTTAGGTACCATTCTCTTTTGGAGTTTAAAGGTCCCCTATCTTTTACAATGCCAGGTTATTCCTATTACTCACAAGTTTGGTTTGGTGTTAGACACTAGAGTTGAATGTCTATTTTTTTCCTTGTAAGTGGTTTCAAAGATAGTATATTTATCTTCTGAAAAAGAACAAACTCAATTCTCTAATGCAGTTACCACGCCAGCTCAACATACCCTGGGGCTGCTCTGGCAAGGGGCTGTAAAAGATTGGTATTGATATTCTGTGGCATTCAAATTGTCAAGCTCCCAACAGGAGGAAGAGCATTTAGCAAATCTGGCCATGTGGCAGCTAATTACACTATTATAAACTAAATTTACAACAGGTGACTTGTAGGCTATGAATTGACAAGCACCCAAGCTCTCCTTCGATTATTTTCCCATAAATTGAGAGGCAAAAGTAGCATTCCTGATGAGGTGGATTCGTGCAGATACCTCAAACACATTGCATGAGTCTCATGCAAGTCCTACACATCATCTCACCAGCAGACTTAACGGTGCTTGCTGATTTTCACTCTTTTCTTGTAACTCATATTGAATGTATTCTAGTGTTTTGTGATTTTTAATCTGGAGATTCAAATTTAAGTCCTGGAATATAACTAAAGGAGATGACACACATTAACACAACACTTTCCTTCAATGGAACTTCTAAGTGTGGAGCACAGATCCACCCTTTAAATCTGGCCAGCTGCGTGGTATTCTTGTCCTTTAAAAGTTATCAAGCATCTAGGGAAACATGTACTTTATATTCAGGCATGAACCATGTGTCACTGAGGGCAAAGATCCAATGTGCTATGGAAATTTCCTGGTACATATTATGAGCTGTTGCTTCCCATCGTGGCCAGATAATCCTGCCGCATTTATTGGTGAAACCAATTGCTTCACTGTCAACAGCAGAGGAGATCTTGTCTCCTTTGTCTAGGATTTTATGTAAAAGCTGTCAAATGTTCAGGATAATAGACACATTCAATGTTCTGTAAGATTTCAGGGATAATAGCATTAGTGAAGAAGATTTAATGTCATTTGTCATCATTATGCCTTAGATTTCTTTGTTCTTACATTAAGATCCTGTGATAGTATGACCAAAATTTTATTAGAGCCAGTTCTTTGTATAAGAGGAACCAATGTTGGCAGGTTTATCTGGTTACTCTTATAAACGTTGGAACAAGCACATTTTAAAATAAAAAATGGCCTTATCTGTCTTATTATCTTTCAGAATTAAATATGAACTCCCTTTATTTTCTAGTAATACAATCCTAGTATATCAACACAGACTTTTCACATTTGGAGGACCAGTTTATTAAAAGCCACAATAAATTTAATAAGGAATTTTTCATTATGGTATCCATTATGAAAAGCACAGCTCCCAACAAGATTGCAGCAGTTCATTTTGGAGTGTATTTACTTCTAAGTTGTGAACGTTTTATTATAGTATTAAGAGACTACTGCTCCCACTTATTGTACATTATGGATGCAATGGGCATTAGCAGACAAACAGATATTGGCAACCTATGAACATTTCAAAATGGCAAATTGTGTTTTTGAAAGGTAATTCAAGGTTTGAGAATTTCTCTTGGATTATATATTGTTATTGCTGTAGTAAGTTTTCCATACATCTTGGATCAGATCTAGCGCTTTTCTCATCTTTTAAAAAAGGCGTTGGCTAGAAAGTGGGTTCATGTACTTGAGAAGAGTTGATGAATTCTGCCCTCCACATTGCAAGGTGCCAGTGCACCCATTCTCCAACCCTGCTATCCTCTCTCACTTCCTTGCCCCTCTACCCACCCCCAATTCCTTGCATTTCGGGCACTGAACACTTACTATGTTATTAGGAAGTATCCAATGTTTAATGTCTTAGAAGATAGGTTTTTTACAGAAATATGAAGCCCTATACACTTGCATTGCTCATCTCTAGTGCAAATTTGCATAACAACATACTGAGAAACACGTGTGGAGTCAGGACTATTTCCAGGCTTACATTTCAGGTTTTTCACTTCAAAAATTATTACTATCTCAACTAGAAAGCAGTATGGAACAAAGAGAGTTACAGAGATGGTACAAATACACTGCTCAGGCAGGAAGCTTCCTCAAGTGCAAGTGAAACTCCGCAGACAGGGGTGACCTGGGACACATTTTAAATGCCTAGACACAGAGTTCAAATGTTCAACAAGATCAACTATTAAATACTAAAATAATGACAGCTGTTAGTACCTAATATAGAAATAGTTTAATGTACAATGAATTTAATTTAAAAAGAACCTTCATTTTATTTATTTATTTTATATATATTTTTACATCGTTTTTCATTTTGGCACAACGTATACATTTTCATCTTGATTATAGTCCCCATACAATCCCACCCCCCCCTTGTTTTGATCCTACTCCCTCCGACCTCCCACCCCATGTAGTGTGTCTCTGGTTTATAGTTGCTTGTTGATTTTGATTTTTACTTTATTATAATTGGTTTTTTTCCTGGTCTCTTATATAGGTTTTCTAGATTCATGCTATGGTTGAAACCATCTGGTAGTTTTGTTTTCCTTTCTGGCTTATTTCGCTGAGCATGATCCATTCCAGCTCCATCCAAGTTGCTGCAAATTGCAAGAGTTTATCTTTTTTGATTGCTGAGTAATATTCCATTGTGTATATGTACCACATCTTCTTGATCCAGTCATCTAGTTTTGGGCATTTGGGTTGTTTCCATAGCTTAGCTATTGTAAATAGTGCTGCTATAAACATAAGGGTGCAGGTGCCCTTTGGAATTAATGTTTCTGTGTCCTTTGGGTAAATACCTAGGAATGTAATTTCTGGGTCATATGGAAGCTCCATCTTTAGCAGGTTAAGGAATCTCCACACAGCTTTCCATAGTGGTTGGACCAATTTGCACTCCCACCAACAATGCAGGAGAGTTCCTTTTTCTCCACATCTTTGCCAACATTTGTTGTGGCTAGTTTTTTTAATGTGTGCCATTCTCACTGGTGTAAGATTGTATCTCCTTGTAGTTTTCATATTGGGAGAAAATTTTTGCACACAACACTAATGATAAAGAGCTGATCACAAAAATCCACAAAGAGCGCATGAGACTCAACAAAAACAAAGTAAATAACCCAGTTGGAAAATGGGCAGAAGAGCTAAAAAGAAACTTCTCCAAAGAGGAAATGCAAATGGCCAACAGGCATATGAAAAAATGTTCAACATCACTTGTAACCAGCAAACCTTCATTTTCCTTTTTTTAAAAAAGATTTATTTATTTATTTATTTATTTATATGAGAACTGGGGTATGTGCCAGATGCACAGGAGGGTGAGGATTCACCAGAGACAGAGCGGGGAACAGAACAGGCAGACTGACTGAAATACAGTGCTGAGGGGAGCAGCGGGCAAGATAGAAGAGGTCTGCTGCACCATGTAGGACTCTTGCCGGCCGGCCGGGATCGAACTGGTGCTGCAGAGGCTGCGGATAGCTTCATAGGGCTGAGCTCAACTGCCTGTGCCACGAGGGGAGGTCCAAACCTTCATTTTCAAGAGAACTTTGTAGGGCATCTAGAATGTCTTTCTCCAGATGGGAGCACAGCTCCCATGCACTGAGGGAGAGTGCTTGGCTAATGGAGAAGAGGAGGAGGAATGATTCTGTGTCATGTATCAGACACCACAGGTCAGAAGGAGGCCAGTATTGGAGCAATTAAAGGACTAAGCCCAGGAAGAAGTGGAGGGATAATTTATCATCCAATCATATCTTCCCTTTTCCACTCAATGGTTACTCTTGGATGTATATTCCCTGACAAGCTAATTTATTAATTTTAATACAGTAAGTAAGGCAGTAAATGTAAATATGTGGCTTTTCACACATCTCTTGAAACTTTATTATTATGGCAGCCTCTTGGTGTTGTATAAAGAGCACTCCTTTGGAAGTAGGGGACTTTGATCACCTATTCTCCTGGGTGAGATAGCTGGGACCTGACTCTCTGGTTGCCTCCCATGGCAAATAAGAGATGTGTACCAAAGGTCTGAGGCCCTGTCCAACACCTATGATCCATGCTATATAGTGTCATTAAAAAACATGCTCATTAAAGAGCTTTAAATCTAAATATCTTTTACTATTACTTTAAAATTCAAATTTTCTATCTTTTTAAATATATGACATTTCCAAATAAATTTGCTGTAGTAATTTTATCCTAATGCCTTCTAAGACATACAATAAATCTATCCTGATGTGTAATCAGTTCATGGGAGTGGTTCCATCCTAACCAGCAGAAGTTTATACGCAGCAAGAAAAGACTGGAGTCCATTGCTCCCCCATTATCTAAAGTAGGGAATTTCATAGCTACCTTTTTGGAAAATGGATAATTACCTAGGGAGCAATATAATCTCCAAATTCTCTTCTCCAGAATCCACAGGATACAATGAGAAAGAAAGTTCAGTGGCTATGGAATTTTCAGATGGAAATTACCAGCACTATGACAAGTGCCTGAGGAACAATGGAAGAGCTAGAAGTTTGCGTTCTTCTCCGGATGGCTGGTGCCTCTGGGTGAGTCACTCTTCATCAGTATTCATGATTATAAACAGTTTTTGATTTCCACAGTTATCTTCTGTTTCTCCTGGACTGATGTCAGATGTGATCATAGAAATAAGCCTGGACATCCATAGGCAAGACGCTCTGGGATTCCTGAAGGCTTGAGAGATGGGAATGGCGTAGGCATGTCAGTGTCTTTTGTAGTCACTTTTCCAATGTGGCTGCTGAGTCCCATTTCCCGCCCCCCCTTCCACCCCGGGGCTTCTGAGAGCCGCTTGCCCTCTGGACAGACAGATCAGCATGTGAAATTGGAAGGGGCCAGTTTCCCTGGCAGGGCTGGCAGCTCATTGCTGCCACGAAGACCAAGATCAGAAGAAAGTCTCTATGTCATCCAAGATCACTTAGCTACCCAGCAAGAGATAAATCAGAAAAGTATATCAGCAAAATGTCTGCTTGATTTGAGCCCAAGGAGAGTGTCTTTTGGGGTAGATTTCCCCCCACATACCTTACATACCTTAGTGGACATTTGTATCACATTTTCTCCCCTGGGCTCCATTTTTTTTTTTTTGTTATAGGCTCACAATTTCCCTCTCTGTGTACAAGCTATTTTTCTGGAACTCACCCATAAACCCAATGTGAAGGAAACACATGGACATCTATCTCTCACCTTCACAAAAGTTAAAAGAGAGTAGGAAATATCTGCTGAGGGGGAGAAAGCAAGTCTCTCTGCAGCTCCAAAACTCTCATTATTTTTTGTTCTTAAATTTTACATCCTTATGCTATAAGGATAACTTCTGAGTAATATATTCAGGAGTTAATATTTGATATTCTTTATGTCATTTGTAGAAGCAGAAAGTCACAGGAGAGTTAGCACTTGGTTCATCAGCTGTTCCCACGGAAATCCTAGATCCAAAACCACTAGAAGTGCCCCTGTCTACATCGCACCTAAAGTCAGGTGATATTAGAACTGTTACCAAAGAGAATGATGATTGCGATGACGATGATAAATTGCTAACATACGGTGCTGTATGTAAGGAATCATTTTGAGTGCTTTTCCTTATTTAACTCTCACAACACTATGGGCAGCTACTGTACTCATTCCCATTTTACAGATAAGAAAACTGAGGTGCAGACAGGTTCAGTGACTTGCCAAGCTCATAAGCTAGCAGAGTTAGGATATGACAAAAAAGAGTCTTGCTTCTTAAGCACCTACAAGAGTTAGGATATGACAAAAAAGAGTCTTGTTCTTAAGCACCTACAAGTTTTCTTCCTTTTATTTTTTCCATCTGAAATTCTTTATCTTAGTAGCTCTGGAGTTGAGCACCTGAAAACAACAGCCAAAAGATTTTAAGGACTAATTTCCTGAGTGTTTATCATTTAAAAATTTTAAATGAAGGTTGATAATCCTATTCATAGACTGCTAAATAGATTCACTAGATACTCATTTGCTGGAGAAACATTCCTACTCTTTCAAGCCTGCTTCCCTCTCAAAAGTAGACTGATTCACACAGTAAATTATATTTATACCCTAAATTGAAACAAAGATTGCATGTGGAAGAACAAAGGGTAGGTTGTGACTCTTTTCCCAAAAAAATGGGACCTCTTTTGCAAGGTGATAAATTTCTAATTCTGAATTCTGGTTTGGAGCCAGACCAACTTCTCGCATGTAGAATGGGTGTAATCTTAAAAGAATGTAGGAGTTGAGGTGATTGCCATGTTATCTTTTGGGAGATGGATGTTTTATCCATGCTGGTTTTGATGTAGGGAGGCTTACTAAAGGGGCTGGAGTATTTTTTTGCTTGTGTGTTTTCATTCTTAAGGAGGGAAGGGTTGTTGACTGAGGTGAAGGTAGTGCCTTGACAGCAAAGAATAGAAAGTCAGCTCCAGGACGAATAAGGAAGCAGTGAAAGCAGGCGTAATGCTTGAAATACATGAGAGAGGGCGGGGAAAGGAAGCTTGAAGCCTCATGTGAATGATTTGAATTTGATATGAAGAACAGAAAGTTGGGGGCAGAATCTGAAGAGAGAGTCAAAGTAGAGGATTGGACAGCTCATTGCCTGGCAGTATTTAAGGTGGTTTATGGCAGATAAAGGTTGAAGTAGAAGGGCCAGGAAGGTTAGAGAGAAGGACATCTTTATGAACGTATGCATTGCTTTTCTACAATTACCTAGGTTGTGCTAACAGTCTCTGAATGCATTGCTAGAACAAAGCCTCTGTTAGGACTTCCCTGGTGGCGCAAGGGGTTAAGACACAACCTAAGAAGTTATCAGCAGGCACTGCAGCACAAGTTCGCTCCCTGACCAGGGAGCTACCCATCCTTTCACCCCCACCACACCTCTGGCCTGTACCCCAATTCTTGTATGCATAAATAAATAAATCTTAAAAAAATAAAAGAACAAAGCCTCTGTTACAAATTAAGCTGTGGAATTTGGGGAGAGATGGACATTGACAGTATCACTCAATAGGTGATAAATAACATGGACAAAGAGATTTCAGAACATTGAGTAAGCTCCTAGGTGGACATTTAGATGTTATTAAGTTCAATGTGGAGTGATGGTATCTCTGGAATGATAAATTAATCGAGTTATATCATTTTCTCACTTTTAGATTTTCTGTCTTTCCTGATCAAAGCAGTAATTTGTAATGGGTAAAAGACTGCTGAGAACTTAGATAATTATTAAAAAAAAACACTTTGTGTATTTTAAATAGACCTCCCCTCCCTGTGTGATCTTTGTTGATCAAAACCTTCCACTCTTCCTCTGCTACCTCCACCCCCACCTGTGCAAATCAGACTGGCCACGATCTCAGTCCACTTTCCCTAAGTAGCAGAGGCCGAGCCAAGGCTAAATTGCCAATACTATATAGGGAAGTGAAATCCCAAGGTTTACAAGAGTCAGAGGGACGGGAATGAGCTTGAAGGAGGCCCATGCTAGGTGAAAGGTGACTACTGGCCTGGCTGGATACTGCTTCTAGTTGTTTCCAGATGTTTCCCAAGGAAAAGCTGTGAGTCATAGCCCACTAGAAGAACCTATCTACTCCATTATCTTGGACCTGTCTTCCACTGGTTTACTTGCCTCCTAAACTCCCCTAAACACTCAAATTTCAGTATGAGACTCCCTTTGAAGCCACCACTGGATGTGGTGGTTCATCGAGTCCAGAATTGCTGGAAGGAGCAAAGGTTCCAGGCATGTAGCTAACCTGCCTCAGGCCCCAGAGTCTGGGAGCCCACAGGAGTCTGTAACCTTGATGTAAGCTAAGGCGGACACCTGCTCAAGGTCCAGGAAGAAGGCAAGGTTGAGAGAGTCTGGGGAAAAATCCCTGCCCCCCACTATAGATTCTACCCAAATGCCAGGAGTGTTTTCTTATGTATTTGCTGCTGGTTGCATATCTATGAACTCACAAGAGCAAGGACATTGACTTTTTATACATACGGGTCTTAGTATGTGTATAAATAATTCAATAATTCAATAATTTAATTAAAAATGGGGTGACATGTTATTCTTTTTAAAAATAAAAAAATCAAACCGTAAAATAAGGCATCTAAATTCTTATCACATTCTACTTATCATATATCTAGACATCAGAAATTCAAAGTTAATATAGTGGTCACTGGGTCTCTATAAATCCTGTGATAATTAAGTTCATTAAAACCCAAACCAAAACAAAACAAAATTCTAATTTTTTTTTTTTTTTCTGAAAAGTCAAACTAGCTCTAGGTATAGATTTTTAAATTATGGATAGGAACTAAGGGAGCACCTTTTTTCAGTGTCATTACAAATGACATGTTAAAGCTTGATAATAATTAAGTTATTTTTTAATTAAGTCATTGTTTTCTGATTTTCACACTACTCCTCACAAGTGAGCATTTTTAAAAATTAAATAACCAAGGTTACAGAGTTTGCCCACACTACAAAGGCAGGGAGGGAGGAGACTTCATTAATGTTTACTAATCGAGATCTTTTCTACAGATAACTAACAGATAAAGGGATACCGATCCCATTGCCATACCCATGTTGCCTAGTACCTCAGTAGGGATCCATAAAACACTATCTTAAAACAATCATAAGAAATTACAAATTTAGAAAACAGTGATCACAATGTTGGAGACAACCACATAAGGGACCTGTTTTGTTTTGTTTTAAAGAGTAACTTTTTTTTAAAAAAGATTTATTTATACAAAAACCAGGGTACAGGCCAGATGTGCAGGAGGGTGAGAGGATTCACCAAAGACAGAGCAGGGAACAGACAGGCAGACTGACTGACGTACACTGCGGAGGTGAGCAGTGGGCGAGAGAGGAGAGGTCTGCCCCACCATGTGGGTTGATTCGCTGCTGGCGGGGATCGAACCAGAACTGCAGAGGCTGTGGACAGCTTCACAGCACTGAGCTCAACTGCCTGTGCCACCAGGAAGGCCCCTAAGGGACCTGTTTAAAGGAAAACTACCACAGACACGTGAAAAAACAACATGAGACAGTACAGATAGAAACACCACTGCATGCATGCCTCATGTTACACACCAACTGCATCTTAACAATAAGACCATAATTTCACTTTTGCAATTTTTTTACATAAAGAACTTAAAACTAGTTTTGCTATTTTTGAGGAACATGAAAACTAATTTTGAGTTCTGCATTTATGTAGAAAAATTGTGAAGACAGTAAAGCAATTGGTCTACTCAACATGATAGACTCCTTTAATAGATTTTGCAAGAAAACACTTGCTTCAGAATGATACCCTGTTCATATGTATTCATTTCCAAAATGTATTCATTCAAAATATGGAGAAAGTTGTTCATCTTAAGATAGAGAGAAAAGATAGAACAAAGGCAACTTTCTGTTAACTACCGGGGAATACATTCAGAAGCATCTGTTGCTGATCAGCAGATATCTAGTAGAGGAAGGTTTTAAGAAGAATTAACATGGGTTTTCAAGGATTTAGCAATAATTTGATACAGGGATTTGCCTTTTGTGTGTGTGTGGTGATGTGCATTCACTTTGTTTTTTCAAGTACAGTGA